AGAGAGGGGTTGCCCCTGGCCTAAGGGCTGGAGCCCCACTGCCATGTTCAACACGGAAATAAACGGGGGGCACCCATGAAATCAGCGCTTGTCCAAGTGTTCAAAGCACGCTGCGAGCCTGTTATTTCCCGAGGAAGTCATGGTAGCTGTAGGGCGGCTCCGCGCCTTGTTAAAAATCAGAGATTCCTCAATTACAAGCAACTTCTCCGGCAGCTGACGCCCGCCGCTGTCAAGAGGCGTCTGGACTTTCGGTCGGCTGTTGCTCCCGCAGCTGGCTGTGTTTGAAAGGCACGGGAGAGCTCCGGTGCGCATCTTATTTGTGCGCTTCTCTGCTTTTCTCTGGCAGGCGTTATCTGGAGTGGTTTCCCTCGTTTAGATCGGGGAAATCGCAGCCTCCGGTCTCTCTGTTCCACCTCTGCGTAAGCTTTGATCTCTGTTTCAGGGCAGGAGTTGAGGGGAGGAAAGACGGGAGGGAGAGGGAATCTTTACGAGGCGAGGGGAAAGTTTTGCCCTCGGACGATGGCTGCACCTCCCCCAAGGGTTGATAAACGACTTGGCGGAGCGAGTGCAGGAAAACAAGACTCTTACGTGACTTACACCAGCTCCTCTGGTCCAGGCTTTCCCAAGCAGTAACCGCTCTGTCTGCCTCTCCGTGTATACGGTCCCGTTGTCTTTCTGGCGCGTGGATTTTTAGCACTATTCTTGGCATCTGCAAACATGGGGCGGACCCATTGGCATATTTACATGTTTATTTAGAAAAATGTTTCTCCCCCACACCCCATCCCAGTGAAATTGTTGTCTGGAGTTTAGCGGTCTCGGCTGTACATGGGGTGTGCTCGAGGGAATAAATCACCCGTCCTTGAGCACGTGCGGCTCGTTGCACAAACCCGGCTGGGTTTCCGAATTTCAGAACTGACTATTGAGCAACATACTGAGAACGGCGTTTCTCTGAATCGCTCCGAGTGACTTTCTCAAGTCATATGGAGGGTTGTCACGAGCTGAATGTCACAGCTTGGGTTTCGAACGAGCAGCTTGAGGGAAGAAAAGCAAACTCTTTCCAGCTCGGGTCTGAAGTGTGTGTTAAATATTTGGTGGCACGGGGATTTCTGTAGGTAGTGCTGCAGAAACCCCATCTGGAGGTGGGTTTCGGGGCTCCCTCCTCAGTTGCTTTGTCCCGCTGCGTCGTGAGGGGCTGCCAGGGCAGTCTGCAACACGCTTGCCTTTTCCTTTCATCCCCTTAGCACCTTTAAGTTGTTTTTCTTGAACAGATTCCAGACGTTGTTGGAAATAACTCCGTGGATTTTGCCATTTCCACATAACCCCGTTTCTTCGAAGGGGGGTGCTGGAGCCTGGGCGTTTCGAAGCACATTAGGAGCTGTATTACTTATGTAAATGATTTCCTGGAGAGGCAGCTCATGTTCACGTGGCCAGCAACCTTCCTTGAAAACC